CAAAAGCGTCTGATGCCAATGGCTTAGAAAGAGTTGGTAAGGGCGCTGTTTTGGCAGGCTTCGTTCCTTGACCCAACGCACAGTCCTGACACTGCAAAAGGATTGTAGTGCCCTGGCTGCGTTCTTCTCAGCAGTTTCCGCCTTCTGCATTGCCTTGACTGCCTCTTCTTGTGCCTTGCTTGCCTCTTCTTGTGCCTTGCTTGCCGCAGGCAGGGCAGCCTCTGCTTGAAAGTAGACAACGTGCAGCATCTTGTTCTTGAGCAAGCCCAACACATTTTGAAGGCCAAGTCGATCAGCCAGCGATTCTGTATCGACTTGCAATGCTGCTCGGTTGAAACCGATCGCAAAGCCTGTGGTATCCGGCTGAAGCTCAACTGGCTCCAATTGTCTTGCATCGTCACGTGCTCAGAATCCCTTGCGCGCAACAAGACAGCTCTGGATCTCAATCTGATAAAGCTTCATTGCAACGTTTGCGGCTTGTTTCGGAACGTTTCCAAGCACTCTCTGAACGTTTGCGCACGTAGCACTGACCTTGACTGTGCTCAGCCTCTCGACCTTTGCAGCAAAGTTCTCGAAAGAACCATTGTAGACTGTGTCGACTTCTGCTTCCTCCTCCCCGACACCCCTTGATCTCATTCCGTCCCCAATGTGGTCGGAGACTGTTTCGCGCAGAAAGCGCGCAACAGCTTCCTTGCATGTCTTCAAACGATCTTGTTCCTTTGGGTCTTGAAATAAATTTGCACGGAGCGTCCGAGGACCACCACTGCCAATCATGCAGGATATCATACTTTCATAGTTCCTTCCGCTGATCTGACTGACACTTGAGAAGGGCTTGGGCCGTCAGTCCTCATCAACTAAACAATATGTTTTGTCAAGTTGTCGTTGCCGCGCTGGCTCTGGTATGGCATGGCTTCCGTAAAAAACTGCCTGTGTTTGCGGTAGAAATTGCACCGCAGGGCGCGGAAGTGGCGCAGCAGGCGCAACAAAAGACCCAGGCTGCCCAAACCACGCAAGAGGTGCATTTTGCGGAACAGGTCCCCCACGGTATGCTACGAATTGCCCATGCCGCCACTCCATGGCAAGGGTTCAATGATAGAAAATGAATCTGTGTGACCATGCTGCTGGGTTTCAATATGCATCGAACGTGTCTGGATGAAGCTGCCCTCAATGCGTGCACATGCATGTGTTGAGGATTGAATTGTTTGACATCAACTCTCCTCTGCTGCCAGCCGGGTGGGGAAAAAAGGTTCACTGCGCCATCTGCTTAGGACAACTTGAGATGTCGCACTGCATTCCAGTGGAAAACTACTCAAGTTGGACGGCACTACAGAGAAAGCAAAACTGCAAGTGACCACAGCCAGCAGTAGCCTGTCAACGATGCAAGTTCACAAGTGTAGAACACCGCTGCGCCGCTGAGGTGCCTCAAACTATGCGACTCCAGCAATTCCAGCTGGTAACGTGACAAACTATGTCACCGATTTGTGGAAATTTGCCGCCAACCAAGAGCTTCACAGCAAGCCGCACTGCAACGAAACAACTGTGCCTGCGACTGCACTTTTTTGTTCCTGTAAGAGGTGAAACGTTGTGGGCCAGCATTGCCTCAGCCGAGAACAGTGACCACAGCCAGCAGTAGCCTATTAACGACGCAAGCTCACAAGTGTAGAAGACTGCTGCGCTGAGGCAGGTGCCTCAAACTATGTGGCTCCAGCAGCTCCAGCTGGCAACATGAATCCGTAGCAGTCTGCCCTGACAGCTGGGCGACGGCACAACCCAAAGTTGAAAGGCATCGGAACCAAGTGCTGGGCTCATCTGTGTTGCGCAGACTTGATGACATCATTGTTTCCTTGACCCAGCGGCCGTCCTGCAAAGTCCAGCTGAGAGACGGCAATGGGGTGGGGTGTGGGGGATGGAACAAATGGGGTGCGCTTTGACATGCAGAGCTCTCCTTCTGGCTGTATATGTCAATTTCATCAGCATCGCATATGACTCGGTTTGGCTTCTCCTGCTTGATGGCCTCAAGCAACGCTCAGTGTGGAAATCACTCAAACCCTCAATCTCTGTCATCGCCCTTCTTTCAAGAGCTTGCAAGACAGGATGAGCGAAATTCGGCTTGAGCGCGGGGCCTTCTTCAAATATGCCTGCCAACATTGAAGCTAAGACGCACAGCATCCTCCAAGTTCAAGTTCACACAAAAAGTGATCAAAATGCATTCAACAAATACATGGCAGGGGTGCTATGTTTTGCGGCACTGGGTCGATTGGAAAAGCATTGCCAGTGGGCTGGAAGCCGCCACTGCCCTGCAAGGTCAGGGAGCCAGGGCAAGGAAAAGAAACACAACATCTCCATTGAATATTGAAGGTGGGCGACAATTTGAGAGCTCTTCTGAGAAGGAAGTCGACAGCTGTTTTCAGAACGTGAATGCAGGGCAGGCAAAACTGCTCACAGCTGCTGGTAAGGTCCAGGCAGGGCTTCCCAGCTGACAGACCCACACTGCTGGGGGTCGTTGCGGGGCGGCACTGCCTTGTGGGCGACAACCCTATTGGTTGCAGGCAGCACTGCTCTTGCAACTGACAATCCATGCATTGAATGAAAAAACGGACATATCCCACCCCAAAAGAGCGGACAAAACACCCGACCGACAAAACGCAGTGCAAAACCAGTGCAAGGGTCTGGTCTCAGCTTTTGGAGGGGAGCATTTGTTTTTTCCCCGGCTCAAATGAGAAGAGCTCCAAGTCGGCTTGCCCCCGGCCGTCCTGATGGAAAGATGCTCTTGAGCTTGTCGGCAATCTTGAGGCGCATGTGGTAGGAAGACGGAATGACTGCCCACTCACAGGACGTGTTTGTGAAGATGTCGGGCAAATCGAAGGTGATGGCATCCTCCTTAATTATACCCCCGACATTCTCCTCCGCTATCATCCTCGCACCCTTGTCTGTCTTGACATTTCGCACGGGCGAAAAGCCTTGTTTCGCTATGTTCTCGAGGTGCGCCCTCGCCTCCGGATCTTCCACACAGGATGGTAAGCCAGGGCAGTCCACAACTGCAAATGGGTTGAAGTTATCCTTCTTCTCTACGAGGCTATCCAAAGCCTGCTTGGTGGTGTAGATGTCACCGCCAAAATAGGTGTAAAATATATTTGCCAAGTTTTCATCCATGCCCCAGTCATGTTGCAGCATCTTCAGCATGTCGTACTTTGGCACCTCGCCAATCACAATCACCCTGCCAATGTCCCTGAGGTCCAATCCTGTTGCCTGCAGGCGGAAAGGGTAGGCAAATTCTGAGGAAATAAGCAGTACGCTTGTCAGCTTGCCTTGTTTTGTCCAAGCTGTGATGGCTGCCAAGGCAGACTTGGCTTCGCCCCTCTCTCCTCCATCCTGTCCGTTTGTCAACCCGGGCAGACCCAGGTTGGCCTCATCCACAACGATGGCGCTTCTCTTCGAAGAAGCTCTCACCCTACTCAGAAAAGCATCGATTGCCGACCGAACTTTTCTCCTGCTGGTTGCAATGCCAGCCATGTCTTTGATGAAGGCGCCCACCGGACTCGCTGCCGGGCCAAGACCCTCAATTGTGAGCACAGCAGCGGATATGATGCCCAACCAAGATGAAACGTATTGACCGACATCGTTGTCACCAGTTCTCTCCTTCAATGTCTTGTTGGCAGTCAAGAGAATGGCATTCAACAGACTCGTACCTGGCATGTCTCGCATATCTGCTGAGACCACCACTACGTTGGAGCTGCATGCTCGTAGTGCGGCCTGTTTGAGGAACGTTTTTCCCAGATTTTTGCCCCCCAACACCAGTGTGAGCAATCCTGTGCTTTCCATCGACTGGACCAGGGCCTTCACGGCTTCATCTCTATCAACCACTTGGCTTGAATTCATGTGCTGACCAGCACGCGTCTTTGTTTCTGCGATGTAGGCCTCAACATCTGTCTTGTTGTTGCCAGCCGCTTTCTGAGCAGCTCCCCAGAAATTGCTGCCACTTTTTGTTTCACCAGCCGCAGCACGGACAGGACAACGCGGCATTGGGCGGGTTTCTGTCCGTGGTGCCACAAAGCACCACCCAAGAATACTCGCACAAAGTGCACACGCCAATGTGCCGCGCCGATGGCGTTCTCGCAACATCGCGTATCGTGAACAAACTTGTTGTGGAACGACTGGGCGGGGACAATGAGCCTTCATGTGTCGCATGCACATCTTTGGTTCACTCTTATGGTTCATGAAGGCGGCACATGACAGGATAAACATTGTGCTCAGTTCTTTCGTATCTGCGCATGTGCAGGCTGGTGCCATCCAGATTTGCGTTCTCTCGATCTTGAAGCTGATTTTCAACCATGCACATGCCCGCAACCCAAGCACATGCCACCACACGCAACACGCTGCGCATTCAGACCAAAACCGCCTAGGACCTGAACGTCAAAATCGAGCGCATTAACAAACAAAACCTCAATTGATGTTAAATAATGTGGGCATGGGTCTAACACTTCAAGTCACGCAGAGTCACACGAGGCAACGAAACGTGCTCGTTGCTTTTTGCACGAGGTGAAACAATGCGTGCACGTTGCGTGCCTGCTTGGCCTCAGCCGAGAATAAGAGACCAAAGCGAAATCAGGCCCGCAAAGACGCAAATTCACAAGTAAATTCACGATGCTGCGCCGCCAAGGGAGGCAGCTGCTACGCCGACGCAACTCCAGCTGAGCACGAAGCCATAAGCAACGTGAGAAGTGCGCCCGTTGGCTTTCACTCTCCCTGAAACTGATTAGGTTTCGAAACCAAGCTGTAATGCATCCAACTAGAAAGCAACAATCCCATCCAAGGCCCAAGTACAACAAATGATGTGTAGGGCATTAGTCTGCCAGCGCCAATCGTTCTTCCAGCGCATGGATTTTGGGGGAAATCTACTGTTTGTTTGAAAAGAACATGATCGGTCAGCTTTGCTTGCAGCTTTGCATTCAAGAGCATGTTTGCTTACAAGCGCCATGAAACAACATGCAAATGCAAGACCAAAAGCGTCTGATGCCAATGGCTTAGAAAGAGTTGGTAAGGGCGCTGTTTTGGCAGGCTTCGTTCCTTGACCCAACGCACAGTCCTGACACTGCAAAAGGATTGTAGTGCCCTGGCTGCGTTCTTCTCAGCAGTTTCCGCCTTCTGCATTGCCTTGACTGCCTCTTCTTGTGCCTTGCTTGCCTCTTCTTGTGCCTTGCTTGCCGTTTCCAATGCTGCAGGCAGGGCAGCCTCTGCTTGAAAGTAGACAACGTGCAGCATCTTGTTCTTGAGCAAGCCCAACACATTTTGAAGGCCAAGTCGATCAGCCAGCGATTCTGTATCGACTTGCAATGCTGCTCGGTTGAAACCGATCGCAAAGCCTGTGGTATCCGGCTGAAGCTCAACTGGCTCCAATTGTCTTGCATCGTCACGTGCTCAGAATCCCTTGCGCGCAACAAGACAGCTCTGGATCTCAATCTGATAAAGCTTCATTGCAACGTAGCGGCTGTCGGAACAGATTTCCACAAGCACTCTCTGAACGTTTGCGCACGTAGCACTGACCTTGACTGTGCTCAGCCTCTCGACCTTTGCAGCAAAGTTCTCGAAAGAACCATTGTAGACTGTGTCGACTTCTGCTTCCTCCTCCCCGACACCCCTTGATCTCATTCCGTCCCCAATGTGGTCGGAGACTGTTTCGCGCAGAAAGCGCGCAACAGCTTCCTTGCATGTCTTCAAACGATGTTGTTCCTATGCAACCAGCGCTGGCTCGATGCCTCACTAAGCTCGCAGGATGCGAAAAGGGTCAATCTGCTTGCGTTAGTGGACAAGTTTGAAGATTGGGCCGGTGCGCCGTTGCGGTCCTTGCATCACAGCACCAGCAGGAACATTCGCAAAGAGGGACTTCACGGTCCTTCCGACCGGGAACTCCTCGCGAAAACTCGTGGGCGGCGGACAGGGACTCCTGAAGCCCGAACGAGTCAGCTGCCAACCCCTCAACGGTCCCAAGACCCAGGCCGTGCTCGGCCACTGCAATGAGCAACGCCAGCGCATTCCCAGGCTGAGGCACGCACCTTGCAAAACCACACAACAAACAGCGCAGCATATCAGCTTGCGGGCCTTGGCTTTTTATCCTGGCCCTCATCACAGCCATGGCCATTCCTGAACTTTACGGGCCTGCAAGGCCAATCCTACCGCTGGATACGTCGGCAATGTTTGCCCAGTGCCTTCAAGCATTTGATGAGCACTCTTGGGCGGCGGACGACTTCTTGCGTGCCAACATGTCCTTGCCGCTTCGTGTTATGTTGGTCCGCGTGGTCACGACCCTACGCGGCTTGTTTACTAGCACTCTGGTTGCCGCTGGCGCTGCTGGAGCCGTCAAAGACGCCACCTTGCCGATGCCCTTGCACTGGACTGACACTCAAAGCTCCTTTCGCTCCCCGAATGCCCCAAATTGCCTGTACAGTCACAAAGATCAACTATGCTATCTCACCGCCGGGGGTCAAAAGGTAAGGGTCTGCCAATACACTTCAAGAGCATTGTGAACTTCGCATGGAGGCGGACACTGCTGATTTTTACATGGCTGGCATCCTTCATGGAAGAAGAGCGTGTCCCCGGCCTCGGCGCTGTTGTCCTGGCGGCAGCCGGCAAAAGATGCGAACTGGCTTCGGGTCGGAGGAGTCCTCTTGCGCAGCCCCGGCGCGCCGAGCGACTCCGGCATGCAACGGGTGCCGTTTTGCCACCTGAAAGAGCCAAAGTGCAATCTGCTTGCGCCTGCGGGCAACTCTGAGAACTGGGCCAATATGCTGTCCTGGCACTCAGCACGAAACAAGAACATGCAAAGGAGGGACTTCATGCTCCTTCAGCCCAGGAACTCCTCGAGCAAAGTCCTGGGCGGCGGCGACAAGGGACTCCTGAAACCCGAAAACCTTCGAAAAAAATGTGTCCCAAGACCCAGGCCGTGCTCGGGTGCACGAGCAGCGCCAATGCAATCCCGAGAGGGCAGAGGCACATACCTGGCCGCTGCCTACCGCGGGCAGGGTAGCGTCACAAGCTTGCCAGCCTCGGCTTTTGGTCCTGGTCCGCATCATCGCCATGGCTATTCGAAAAGCGCTTGAGCGGCCTGCGATTCCTCAAGCACTGGCACCAGACCCATCGGGCAACCATTGCGAGCTGTTGTTGTGTCAGTGCTGATGAGTACCCTCGAGCCAAGTTTCCAGAGCAAACACAAGATTGACTGGCTTCTTTGGCAACACCAACGCACGGGTTTAAATGCTCCTCCTCCTTTTCACTCGCGGCCTGAAGGTCGGTCGGGCCAAGCCTTGCAAGGCTTCGCAGCGTCCATCCGTCAGACTGGCTGACCCACATCCTGCCGCTGCATCAAAGTCCAAGCGAGATACCAAACTGGCCTGCCTGCAAAACAAGCAGCCGAAATCGGCACCGGGCCGCCAGGGGCTGAAGGGCGGGGGTTTCTGGGGTCCCTGGTCCCTGGGATCACTGGGGCCTCTGGGGTCCCTGGGTCCCAAGGGTCCCTACATTCTTCAGGGTCCCTAAGCTCCCTAAGGTCCTAGGGTCCCTAGAGTCCCTGGGGTCCCTACACACGTGTGCATCAGACGTCTCGCCAAGGCCCCAGAGTGCGCTCATCCCTGTCAACGCACGGCGGGTTCAGGGACCTTGGGCACCTTTAGGGAATTTAGGGACCTTAGAGACCTTTAGGGACCCTAGCAACCCTGCAAACCCTACCCTAGGGACCGTAGGGATTCCGAGGACTTCAGGGACCCAGCGACCCAGAGACTTCCAGAGATCCTTGGTGGCCACAAGGATTTTGGGGCTTGAAGGGATCTTGGCAAGAACTTCACGCCGGGTACCATTCAGCCTGGGCATTCTCCAGCATCATAGGGTCATGCAAAAACACAAAATGCCGAAGCCAAGACACACACACACACATTGCAAATGGGCCACAACACCACAACATCATCTCCCAACTACAAACTAGAAAACACCATGTAGAGACATACCAACATAAAGGCACAAAGACATAAAGATATAAAGATATAAAGAGAAAGATACAAAGATATAAAGATATGAATTTGTAGAAATACAAAGATATAAATATATGAAATTCATAAAGAGATACAAATACGTAGAGATATGAAGATATAAATGTATGGAACTAATAGATTTGAGTACACGAAGATAAATAGATGTATGGAAAGTTGCTCGAATGGAAAAACAACAGAAGCTTTGCCCTTCCGCGCGTCTTTGTGTCCCCTTGCGTGGCAAGCTGCAACCAACCGAAGCTTGAGAGATGACTTCACACTTCACAGGATCTCTTGCCCCCAAGACCCAGGGTTGCTGGGGTCCCTAAGGTCCCTTGGGGTCCCTAAGGTCCCTTAGGGTCCCTAAGGCCCCTAGCGTCCGTAAAGGTTTCTGGCGTCCCTAAAATCCCTGAAAACGCCGTGTGTTGACAAGGATGGATGCACTTTGGGACCCTGGCCAGACGTCTTGATGGAAGGACGTTGCTTCATGGCACCTGCAGACGCACGCGTGCCCAGGGACCCAGGGACCCCAGGAACCACAAAGATCGCAGGGACCCTCGGGACGGACCGTCAGGGCTTCACTGGGTCAAAGCTCAAGGGGGCTGACAGATTGGTGACAAAGATCAAATGACAATAACCTGCACGGGACCTCTTGGCCATGACAATGGAGCGCGGCGAGGGCCCGGGCGGAAGCTCAAAAGTTCGCAGTGCCTGAGCGCCAGGAAAAAAAAAGGCGATTTTGAGGAAACCACGCTGCCTGACTTACAAAAAACCTGACAGTACGACTTGTTGGAGAAACAATACAAAATACGGGCCTGGCTCAACGAGGTCACGATTTCCAAAGATACACGGGCCTGACGGCGCGGCTTGACGGGGTTGGGAAAAGCACACAAAAAAGCAACGCGAGTCGCGCAAATCCTGGCACGGGACGGGGGGGGTGTCCGGGCCTCGCTAGGCCAAAGATCAGGGGGCCTGACAGATTGGCGAGTTCGGACCCAAACCTCGAAGATCAGTTGGCATTGATGGCCATGACAACGGAAACAGCGAAGGTCCGGGCAGTATGCCTCGATGTCAAAACAAAGCCTGGCACGGGGCAGCGCGAAAACACGACCTTCAAAATCCAGGACCAAACCTGAAACACTGCTCAAAGGCCGAGTTGACACCAATCCGCACAGGTGCCCAGCCAAAGAGTCCCCAGTAGCACGAATTGGATCCACCTGCAAGCGGCCAACAAAAAGTGACAAAAAGGCAACTCCAAAGCGCGGCGCTGCGAGAAGATCTGCACGTCGAAGTCTGGGCACAGGGCACGTGAGGTCAAGAAAAACTGTGAGTCTGAAACCACGCCTTTGCACCCGTGAGCGGTTCCCTGCCGCCACAAGGCTCACGTGCTTGGGGAAGCTCTTTCCAAACACGACCGACAACGTGAAAATCGTGAGAAAAACGCAACACCGGCAACCTGTCATGCAAAATCACGCTCAAAAACCACGCAAAGCTGAATTTACGGAAAAACAAACAAAATGGTGTTTTTTTTCCGGAAATGGCGGCCCTCGAGCCGCGTGAGCCGAGGGCCGTCCCTTTGGTCGGACCATTTTGTTGTCCGCCCTTTCGAAAAAGGACCGGCAAGCAAGAGTCAAGATGACTACCATCGCCACTGGGGCAAGCAACGCGGCCTGGTGGAGGTCCGCAGGTGAACCCCGGCACGGGCGGGACTTTTGCCCCTTCTAAAACTGCGTTCTTTGTATCGTGGATGTCAGACGTAAGCGAGCGCGCCCGTAACTGACCCCGGCTGCGCTGATGAGCCTCAGCTTCTGCGAGCTCACCCAGGTGCTGATCTGCATGTGACGGCCTTGGATGAAGAGCGTGTCAAGGGCGCCGTGCGGCTTGTGGAGTTCGGCGTGTCAGCAAAGTCGTCGATGACTACAAGCGCCTGGTACAGTTTCTTCATTTCCAACTTCTTGGACGCTTCCGTAATCTTGCGCTGCACTGGATGCGCCGCAAGGCGGACTCATCCCACTCGTCCCAGTAAGCCTGCTCACGCTCCGTTCACCCCCAGGTCCTGCTCGATGTACTTCTTGACGGGGATCCAGCCATCATCGATGTTGACGCTTGGGCTGAAAACGTAGATCCGCTCAAACACGCCCTTGTTCTGCTCGAGGATGAGACTGATGAGCGCCACAGTTTTAGCACTTATCATGCTTTTAAAGCCACAAAGCTCCGCAACAGAAACCACTTACAAGGCCAGAAACAGCACTTTAAGCCCGGGCAACTTAAACTTCCGAGACGCACAGAATGCGACTGGGACCCGTTTTCCCTGCATATTAAAAAGCAAGCTAAAAACCCTTGCAGAAGTACAAGCAGAAGGGCTGTGGCCGCACCGCAAAACCACCAAATTTTCGCAAAATCCACATTTGCTGAATGACAACCTCTGAAGATGCGCTGTGAGCGGTTTTAGAATTCACAAATAACAGAGAGAGTCAGCGGGCCCCCAGCTCATCTGCAGGCACTTCTCGCCCAACTTGAGAGGACTTGGAGGCAGAGGTGGCTGCAGTCGCCAGCGCCCCGAGCCGGTGCCGTGGCAGTGGTGGAGCTTCTTCTCGGCGGTCTTAAAGAACGCGAGGCACCCTGCAGTGAGTGGCAGCCCTGTTCTCCAGCTCCTTCCGCCGTGTCATGCGTCTCCAGACAGTGGTCGGCCAGCTTGAAAAGGTCGTTCAGCAGGCGCTTGTCGCTGTCCCGCTCGTGGTGCGTGAGCCTGCTTCTCGGGTGGCACGTACTCTCTCTTTAGAGGGGGTTTCCCAAATGGTTTATATTCTACCTGAGAGGCTCCCAGCGCTCGTCCGTCCAGCATTTGACCTCGTCCTGCGAAGGATTCGAAGTCTAAAACGCTGCGTACAGGCGTGTGGCTGCAAAATAGAGACCCCTAGATATGCTTGCAATTTGGCTCCAGGTTGCATTTCAAGCGAGCCAACCTTTGCAGGGCTAAGAAAAAAACAAAAAAACAGAAAACAAGGGGTCCCAAAAAAAGGGGTCCCGAAAAAAAGGGAAAAGGGGTTTCCTTTGGCAAAGCTTGACCTCGCTTGAAATGCAACCTGGAGCCAAATTGCGGCGCATATCTAGGGGTCTCTATTTTGCAGCCACACGCCTGCACGCAGCGTTTTAGACTTCGAATCCTTCGCAGGACGAGGTCAAATGCTGGACGGACGAGTGCTAGGAGCCTCTCAGGTAGAATAGACCATTTGGGAAACCCCCTCTAAAGAGAGAGATACCGGGAATGCAGGGATTCCCTGCATTGAACTCCCCCCACGATTTGATTCAAAATTGCTCCATGGTTGACTCTTGTTGCCGCAGTATTGCAACAAAATTGCGCGCCACCTGCCTGGCATAGCCTCCCTGGCGCGCCACCTGCCCGGCATAGAAGCCCTGCCGAGCCCGCGCCAAGGGATTCCCAGAAAAAAATTCAAGGATTGCCTCCTTCAATCCTGTTGTCACCCTAGGATTGAGGGGAACTCCACGCGGAACTCCACGCGGAACTCCACGCGGGCAACTCCGAAAAAATGGGACATGCCTGTTTCCAGTTCCGAACTCCACGCGGGCAGCAACCAAAAAATGGTTGGTGCCTGTTTCCAGTTCCGAGGCACTTCGAAAGCACAAGTGCATCACATTCCTGCCCGGCATCGGAGCCTCCCGGCCGCGCCACCTGCCCGGCATCGGAGCCCTGCCGAGCCCGCGCCAAGGTCGGGATTCTTCCACCTCCGACTTCGCTCTACACCGAGGTCGGTTTTCCGACTTCGCTTTGGCTTCCGATTTTGCCCGAAAAATCCTCCGGAAGCGATGCGATGGGGAGCAGGAAGCGATGCGATGGGGAGCGCATCGCTTCCGGAGTTGGGTTTCATCCCGAAAAACCCATCACCGGGCCAGCGCCGAAGGTCCGTCAGCGATGCTGTCCTCGCAGTATCGCTGACGGAGTGTTTTTTTTTCACCACTTACACGCCCTGCCGTCAATCCTGCTGTGGCAACAGGATTGCCCTTGTCAATCCTGCTGTGGCAACAGGATTGCTCCACCCAATCCTGCTGTGGCAACAGGATTGCTCCACCCAATCCTGCTGTGGCAACAGGATTGCCATTGTCAATCCTGCTGTGGCAACAGGATTGCTCCCCCATTCCTGCGCTGGCAACAGGATTGCCCCGGTGCACTACGAGCAGCTCGGGCTTGGAACTGTTCTTGCCCGAGCACAGGCTTGTGATGGAGTCGGCCCCGCTGTAGAGCTCCCTGGCCTCGGGCACGTCGTTGACGCTCAGGACGAAGGGCAGGCCGCTTGCGAAGAGTGCGTCTCGCAGCTCCGTGTGAAAGACCAGGTCGTGGCCCCCTCTCGTACCATAGTAGTTCATGCTGCGGCCGGGGAAAATGTAAGGAGGGTCAGCGTAGATGCACTGGTGCGCCAGGCAGGGCAGAGCGCGTAGATATGCCAGCGCATCCTGGTGCCGCACGGTCACGTTGCAGGGTGGCTGCAGGCGCCGCACGCTGCTCAGTGCCAGCGGCCTCTGCTGTGCGAAGGAGCCCCACTTTCCCGAGAAGCTGTTGCGCAGCAGGACGTACGCGCAGGCGGCCCGGCGCCCGGCACGGCCTCTCAGCGCGCCCGGCAGGAGGTGCCGAAGTAGAAGCGCCTGTCCACCCTGCGCCCCACCAGGCGCAGCAAGGAGCGCAGGAAGACCGGGTCTTGCCTCAAGTAGCAGCGGCGCAGGTTTGCGACGGGCTCGAAGGCGTCGACGCCGCGCACCTCCAGGCCCGGACGCCGGGCGGCGAGGTAGTACTCCAGCTTTCCAGAACCGAAGAAGGGCGAGTGAAGCACGGCGACGTCCCCCAGCAGCCGGTCCATGTGAGGAGCTAACCACGCCTTACTTCCAAAGTACTTCAGCTGCATACCAGCCCTTTGGTTTTATCCCGGAAAACTCCGTCAGCGCGTCGGTACACAGTGACGCACTCCCGGGCTCGCCCCCGGGCAATCCGGACAAACTATGTCAGCGCCCTGCTGTGTAGCAGTGCGCTGACAGACTTGCCGCCCGGTTCCCTGCGTCGAATTTGGGAAGTAAAAACAAAGGTATGGGAAAGATCAAGCTTTTCCCCACGCCAGAATACAGCAGCAAACAGCCCTCGGACCCCGTGGTGCCCCTGGTCCCATGCACAGGTATCTTCCTCGGACCTTCCAACTCGGGGAAAACCGTGACTCTGATCAGCCTGATTCTGGAGCAGTACAGGGGCGTCTTCGAAAGGATCTACATCTTTAGCCCGTCCATCGACATCGACGACGGCTGGATTCCCGTCAAGAAGTACATCGGACGTCCGGTCCGCCAACAACCTGAATGACGCCACTCAGCCCCAGCACTTCACGCTGCGCACCGGCAGCAGCACTTCAGGCAGCCCCGCAAGCAGCCGCGCCTCCTCGCAGTCCGGCTTCCGCGTGCAGGCGCAGTCCAACAACACGCCGCGCCCCTTTTCCTGGGGCCTGAACCCCGTGGCTCTGCCCCAGTCCCAGAGCTCGCGGGCGAGCTCCAGTTCCGGGCAGTCACGCCGGAGCTTTGCCTCCGCCCAGCTTTGACCAGCTGGCGCGAGACATTGAGGCTGCCTAATTTGCACGGTTTTGCGCTACAAAATGCTATTACTCTAGTCTGTACATCTATGTACGGACAGGAGTAATAGCTTTTGCACGGTTTTGCGTTACAAATCTTATTCTTCTCGTCCGTATATCTATATACGGACTACAAGAATAGCTTCTTTGCACGGTTTTGCGCCACAAAACGCTATTCTTACAGGCCGTACATCTATGTACGCCCTAGAAGAATAGTTTCCTTCGCCGTACGAGTCAAAATGCGTGTATATAAACAAGCATGGAGGTAGTCACCGCCGGAGCCCAGGATGAGCTGATGCAGAGCCTGGACTACAAGCTGAAAACAAGCAACACCAGCTACGTGACGGCGCGGCATGACGTGCAGTACTTCCCAGCTCGCTGAGCTCCTTCTCCCCCACAACCTCTCGGGTCTGCCGCATCCCGCTGACCAGCGGCACGTCCTTCATCGACCCCGAGTCCATCAAGATCGCCTTCCGCGTCAGGAACACGGACGGCACCAACCCGCTGGCCCCGGCCACGCCCAACCCCGCCTGCTTCGTCCAGCGCGTCCAGGTCTTCGCCAACGGCCAGCGCTGCGACGACATCAACTACTACGGCCGCACCGTGGCCGTGCACGACCTGCTGAAGGGCAGAGAGTACAACCGCAACAAGGCCATGGAGGGTTTCGACGAAGTGAACGACCCGCGCATCGCCCGCGCGGTGCACCAGGGCGGCTACGCGGACGTGCTGCTGCGCCCCACCATGGTGGGCATCCTGCGCTGCGGGACGATGCTGCCGCCGCAGCTGAACCTGGTGATAGAAATTGAGTTTGCGGACGCCACCACTGCGCTGTGGTCCGAGAACGCCGGGGCGCACCCGGCGGGGGCCACGCTGAGCACCGACTTCGAGATCCAGAACGTCCGAGTTCTGGCCTCCCAGGTCGTCCTGGACTCTGCGCTGGTGGAGTCCTTCAACCGCGTGCTCCTCTCA